AAAATTTGTAACAATATCATTTTAAACACAAAGTGGTGAAAAAAGTACAGTAATCAGGCTATGAACTACAGGTCATAATAGCTTTTAGGATTATAATGCGGAAGAAAATAATAGTTGCAAATTATTTAACCAGTTAGTTCTTTGTACAAAGCAAGCAGTTTATAAAGTCAATGATTTTTTATTAGTTTTTGGCTTACCAATTGCTGTATATGTGTGTGTGTGTGTGTGTTTGTGTGTGTGTGATGACTATGCCCTGGTAGATAAAGTGCTCAGAAGTTTCCCTCCTATCTGAACTCCATCCACAACAGTTCACTCTAAAAGAACCAGTTATACTGACTCGTATCATCCATTATCATCCATGAGTTAGTTTTGATTTTTCCTTACTTATGGATTCATTTGGTTTTAGTGGTTTTTTAGGATTTTATTTATTTGAGAGGCAGAATTACTGACAGAGAGAGGGAGAGACAGAAAGGTCTTCCATCTGCTAGATCACTTCCCAAATGGCCGAAATGGTGGAGCTGAGCTAATCTGAAGCCAGAAGCTGGGGGCTTCTTTCGGGTCTCCTACGTGGGTACAGGAGCCCAAGAACTTGGGCCATCTTCTGCTGCTTTCACAGGCCATATCAGAGAGCTGGATCGGAAGAGGAGCAGTGAGGACATGAACTGGCGCCCATATGGGATGCCAGGCTGCAGGTGGAAGCTTAGCCTACTGCGCACAGCACCAGCCCCTGGTTATAGTCTTTTATATCTGTCTCCTTTGGGCACAAGTCATGTTTGTTAGCCTTGCTGCGTGTTTTGCAGGCTCATTATTTTATACTAATATGAATCAACCATACTTTATTTGTCCACTGTAATGTTAATAGCATTTGGTCCTTCCAGGATGTGTCCACCATGAATAAAACTTGCACATGCATGTCATTTGATGGAAATGTGTTCATACTCGTTCCTAGAATGGTGTTTAGTATATTTAGAGTTATCTTTTTCTTTTCATTTCATGATGGAGTTTCATGGAATCAATTGCATTGTTCACTTGTTTCAGTTTCCACTATTTAGTTGTCACTGTTGAAATTTTATGATTCACACCTACCCTAGCAAAAGTCTAAATTTTATCAGAATGGCTTTACTGATCTCTAGAGCAGCAAATGGGCCTTGGAACCCTGTAAGTCTCTTGTTTCACTATTAATATGTTTATTTGGCCAGTAGATAGCAACATATTGTTTTTAAAACTCCACAAATTAGTCCCAATTTATGTAGTGACTATAAACTTGAATTCATGTATGTGTTTACAGTCTATTTGCTCACCATTCTTTTTATATCTTCTATTGTATACCTTCTTTATGGAAATGCTTTTCTGCTTTTTTTTAGAAATTCCTATGATGAATGCTTTTTTTATTTTGTTGTCTTAACTTTATTTCAATCTTGTTCTTATGGGAAATTTTATGATCTAAATTGACGGTTATTTTTCTTGTGCACTTTGGTGATATTATCCTATTTCCTTATGGCTCTCATATTTTTCTGTTTAAAAACAGCATGATTGTCATGTGGGGTGGGGAATGTCCAGCCTGTGGGCCTCATAAGGCCTGTGAAATCATTTGGTCTAGCCTGCCAAGGCAGCCACAGCTGAGACTCAAAATCCAATAAATCTGTAGCAGGCTACTTTTTAAGTTAATAATTGTATATGGCCCAAGAGCGATGTTATAAATATCTAAATGGCTCTTGGCAGAAAAAAGAGTTCCCACCCCTATATGGGATCAGTTCTTTCTGACTGCCTAGAGATCTTTTCTTTGCATTTTTTCGTCTTCCATTTGTACTTTATTTATCTTTTTTGATTTTTATTGTGCAAGTGCTCGCTTTGGCAGCACATATACTAAAATTGGAATGATTTTTATTGTGCTTAATGAATAACGCATGCTTTGTTTTTCATTAAACATAGAAAATTCTCAGAATTTTTTTCTGATTAAATGTTTCATCATTTCTCTGTTCCTTTTTTTGTAATTCTTAGTAAACATATTTTAGACCTCCCTTATTCTTTACTCTGTGGCTCTAAGCTTTCTTTCCCATTTCCATCTTGGTTATCGTTCTGTGCTTCCATACCCTTGGTAATTCCTTCAGCTCTGTCTTCCAGTTCACTAATTATCTCTTCAGTAAAATCTAGCATAGTTTAACAATTCATGCCTTATTTTTAATTTTTATATTCAGATAGCATAAATTATTGTATTCTGTTGATTTTTAAAATATATGCAAATACATGTTCTTTCTTTATAGATAAACTGCAGGGTTCCACCTTTGGGGACTGTCTTGTACTTGTGAATCCTTCTTCGTGTAAATCAGGCCTTTATGGATGTGGCTGATCCATTGGTGGTCCATCTCCCGGCACACCTGGATCAATCCTAAGCCTCCACAGTTTTACTTACTTTACTTTGCATAGTTCTAATGTTTTTCTTGATATCTTGATCTTTTCCCCCTGTAGGCTGCCTCTGTTTCCCTGCTGTGATCCCAATTCCTACATTTCTAAATCTACTAACACTATCTCCAGTTTCACCTTTTTTAGATCAAGTAAGTCTTTGGGGCAGAAATAAACTAATCATAGAAACCATGAAATTTAATCTGAAATCATATTAAATGTCTTTGATTCTGAGTGTCTGGCTTCCATTAGTCTTGACTTTGTTCCTTGGAATCAGATAGGTGAAGCAATGCTTTAAAAAAATCATTAAAATAAAAGCAATGGCCTTCATAAAGGCAGTCACCAACCTGGAATACTAACAACTTGTTTGTGTTTCTATTCCTGTATCCTTATGGCATCATTCAGTTGCCAACAGCATGTTTTCTGCTTTGCCAAACCCTAGGGTTGGTTCTGTCCCTAAATCTATGTCCACATACAAGGGTACTTCAGAAAAATTAATGGAAAATGGAATTAAAAATTTGTGAAGGAAGCTTATTGTGGAAAATTTCAATTTTTTTTTAACCAAAATAAATTTATCTTTTAGTTCCATTTTTTAGAATCTTTTTAAAGTACCCACATGTGTTCTGGGCATATAGACAGCTCTGATTGTTACTATACTGGCATAGCATCAAGAGCCCAGGTGCTTCTATCACGCTTACTATGCTGCTTTATCAACTGAAGTATTGTCTCTCTTCTCCCCATGTCTGTATCCCTGTTAGCTCACAGATTGCCCTGTAACCTTCCTTTCTCTTAGGGTGGTTCTTGTCCACGTGAAGTCCTCTTATTGATTTTCCCTGATATTGCCCATCTCCCTTTGCTTCCCTTTTGCTAGAAGTTTGCATCTCCCCTGATGGCATGCTCCATACCTGAGTATTTATCTGTTCTCTGAATGGATGTGTCTCGGTGACTCCCATAGTATTCAAGACCATTTATCACCAAGCTGGATAAGGAAACAAATGTGCAGCAGTTACAGTAATTTGAGGCAGATTACCCCTTCTGCCTCTAGCCCCTGAGCTGTCAGAGTCAGCACTCCTGTACTTGGGATATCCATATCCACTAACGGGTCAAATGACTGGGTTGCAGGTCTGGCTATAGTAAGAAACATTAACATTTAATCAACAAATATTTTGGACACATACTAGTGTATGAAGCAGAAATATCAAATAATGCCCAACATCTCTGTAGGCCTAACATACTTCTTCGAACATGTTAACTCCTTTAATTTGCCCAAATTGTATATAAGATACAATAATCTATACATTGTAAGAAAAGCTGAAGTAAAGCAACTGCCATCAGTTTTCATGCAGTGTCATGATCCATCAGGAAGCCATCAGAATCATGTTTCAATCCTCAGAACTCTAAAAAATCCACAAAAGAATTTTCACCTCTTTTCAGATTTAAGGGATTTCTAGAAACTTTACCTCTGAATTCTTGCTATTTAATAAGATGGGGTCAGTGCAGGGGGAGCAAAAATTGATAGAAATATAGTTTCTATACATAGTATTTGGCAGGAATGGAGCACAATCAATACGAAACCTCTAGTTTAATACTGACTTTTACACATAAAAACACCATACCACACTTTTTAACAGCAAAGAAACATATTAAAATCAATATTAAGCACAAGTATGTATTCGTCCAAAGAAAATGTCAGATGAAAAACCTGTAGAGATCAATATTAGGGACCAAAAATTTCACGTATTTTCTCTGTGATATTTCTGCTAAATGAAGAAATTCATATTAGTGATATTGACAGTGTGCATGACTCTCTCATTAAAGAAATGCCAATTTAATAAATACATGTAGTAGTATTGGATTTTTTCCAAACCTTTTCCCTCTTTTTGTTTTTGGCGTTGGTTCATATAAGAGTTCCTGATACATCTGGCACATATGACTTGGTTTATTTCAGCCTGAGTGGAGGAACAGTAAAAGGTATGCATCGGCAGTGGTGGCAGCCTAGGTAGAGAAGGGAAGTGTGGCAGGCTTGGGGGTGTGTGTTTATTGGTGACATTTCTAGTGAAGCACTGAGGGAAACAAAAGTTGAGAAGCATAATTTTACCCTACAGGATCAACTTTCTCCCATATAATAAAATGAATATTTTTTTTCTCTAAATATCTCTTAGAAGTTGTCACGGAGCTTCTCCATCACCCATCCAGAAGTTGTTGAACACAAACCCTAAGACCAGTAACACATTCAGCTTCGGTAGATTTCTTTCAGGTTAGCTTTCCATCACTGAACACTTTCAATGAGACTTGTTTCCAAATTTCAGCAAAATGTTGGCTATCGACCATTGTCGCTCCCCTCTGCCCAATCTGTGGTCATTAGGCTCCTGAAACAGAAATCCCAAAAACTCTTGTTTCCTGTTTTGTTGCTTTCACCAAGTGTTAATGTCAGTGGCCACTGTCGTGTTGGTAGCTCCTTTACAGAATTACCCATCTTTCTAGAAGATTCTGTGAGGCATATGTACAATGTATGAGCTGCATGATCAAGTCAGGTTGCTCAGCCTCTTTGGTGTTGCTTCCAAATTGCTAATATGTACACGATATCTGTACTGCAGGCTTCATGGCAGGGATGAGCACATCAAGCAATAAGTGTGAAGGGTGCTTTTGACAACTGCAAAACCCTGTACAGATGAGAAACCGTCACTCAGTGTGGAACTCACAATCCTCACAACATGTGAGTATCATTCTCTGATGCTAGTGCCAGAGGCAACAAGCAGAATCTACATCAAGGTCCAGGTTCAATTAAGGGGTAGAGAGCAACAATGAGATTTAAGCCTGTCTAGACAGGTGGACAGGATGAGTTTTACCAGTGTTAGATCTATCTTGTTCTTTTTAATGCATTTTGTCTTTTTAAAATTGTTTATTTATTTAAAATCAGAGTTATACAGAAGAACAGATGGCAAGAGAGGGAGATCTTCCATCTGCTAGTTCATGCCCCAGATGGCCACAATGGCCAGGGCTGAGCCTGGCTGAAGCCAGGAGTCAGGAGCTTCATTCAGGTCTTGCATGTGGGTAGCAGAGGCCCCAGAAGCTGGGATATCCTCCACTGCTTTTCCCAGGACATTAGTAGGGAGCTGGATTGAAAATGGAACAAGAGGGACATGAACTGGCATCTGTATGGGATGCCACGTTACAGGTGCCGGCTTTACCCACTATAACAGAATGCTGTGTCTTGTGAGTCTTGACTTTATGTGTCTGAAAACTGCCCTTGCTGGGAGGTGGTTAAAAAAGATGCTTTAGCCCTTTAAATTTCAGAAGTGTTGGATGAAGGAATCCAGAATAGCCACTTCCAACTTATCAAGAGAGAAAGCTGATATCATTTAAAAATGCAATGTTGGAAAAAAAAAGTCCCCCTTAAACACACATTTTTAAATCTTGTTGAAAGAGATTCATAATTTGACAAGGATGTGTGAATCTTGGTTCTGATGTTCAGAAGTATAAATAAAGCAATTTGCAGCCCACGTTATAAAAACTAGAACTTTGCATCCCGTTAGAAAACTGCCCTTTGTCTTTCCCCCATCACCGTAATTAACTAGTTCCCATTCATTAAACAATGAAACAGACAATTAAATAGTAATAATAGCACTTTAATTATGAAGGTATTGTTATCTGCATAGAATATAGAAGGGGAGATTGCTTTAGCTGCATTTAAAACATTTCCTTGTCTGCTTTTTAAATGAAGAAGAATGAGCGTTCAAACCGCTAGAGCCTGGAACAGGAAAAGCACAGAACCTGTACCCTCAAAGGCCGTTTCTGATAAACAGGAGTCTCATTTATTAATGAGGTAAGCGCTGATGAAGACACATGAATTCCTAGAGCATCCTTAGTATGTTTTTCGGAAGGCATCTCTAACAGCCCTGAGCAGCATCAGCAGGTATTTTTAGACACAAGGATGCGTGATTGAGGTGAAAGTCCTGTTGCCTGATGCCTTTAGAGTTCCTTAAGCACCATAACACTGGGGCGAAATCCAATTGAAAGTGCTCTGTAGGTAGCTTTGCTGTTCTCCTCTTAGGGCTGGGTGTGATTTTAATACTGGAGTTGGCTCCAGTTTTATTATTTTATGTTTTGATATAACTGAATAAATTATCATCTCTCCAGTTATATAAAAAAATAAGCTGAATCTCCAAAATATGTTTCCTCCCTACAATTGGTAACATTCTCCACATTTGGAATTTTATTTCTGAAGAGCGAGCTTCAGATAGAAACAACTTTCACTTCTTATTTATTTATTTGCGAGACAGACAGAAGCTTCCTCTTGCTGATGCATTCCACAGTTGCCTGCCACGCTGAGGCTGGGCCGGTCCAAAGCCAGGCGGCAGGAACTCAGTCCGGGTCTCCCACATGGCTGACAGAGACCCAACTACTTGAGCCATCACCTGCTGGCTCCAGGGTGCACATTTCAGCAGGAGGCTGGAATCTGGTGCAGAGCCACAACTCCAACCCAGGTACTCTGATAGGGAGTGTCAGCATCCCCAGGTGGTGACTTCATTGTTAGGCCTAATACTCCCCTGACTTTCTGTTCTATCACCGTCACCTGTCATCTGGTGAAATCCTAGGATGCACGTAGCTTTGGCATATAGAACACAGTTCTTCCTTTCTGTTTCATAATTAAAATGAGCAGTGTTTATTACTTGTTACATGTTCACCTGCAAGCAAGGTAATGTGGTTTGAGCATTATAATCTAGACTTGAATCTATGCTTGCCACTTTGAAGCTCTGTGACCTTGAATAAATAATTCCTTCAAGCCTCTGTTTTTCCAGCTGTAAAATGGGGCTATGTGACAGGCTTTGAGGATTAGGTAGTTATATATTAAACAGCATGGATCCAGGCTTAGTGCATTCTTAACCTCCATTGTCATGATCATGTTGCATTTCCTGTATATTACAATCACTATCCTCCTTGACGTAATGAACAACTGTGTCTTTCTAGAAGATGTAAAGAATCAGTTATTCTTGTTTTGCTCTTTCCTTAATCAAGTACACTTTGACTTTTTAACAGTCTTGGAAATAGTGCAATTTCTCCCACACAATTAAAGCAGTCTCTGTTGGATTCAGCAGTTAAGTTGCCTGTGATTGTTTGATGCATCTGTCTGAAGGGCGGCCTCAGAATCCAGGAGCCCTGAATCCTGCCGTTGCTTTCTCTAAAGCAATATGTTCCTGTTTCTCCTTTTCTAACCTGGAAGACATTGGCTCGTACCAACTAATCCTTTTTAAAAATAATTTATGAGATGGGAATTTGATGTAGCAGTTAAGACAGCGCTGTAAGTGACCATATCCCATATTTGAGTGCCTTGGTAGGCGTTCCAACTCCTGTGCTTCTGATCCTGCTTGCTGTTAATACTGATCCTAGGAGATAGCAGGTGATGGCTTGAGTATCTGGGCCCCTGCTACCCACATGGGAGATCCAGATGCAGTGCTGGGATCCTGGCTTCCACGTGGCCCAGCCCTAGCTGTTTCAGGCATTTAAAGAGTAAACCAGCAGATGGAAAATCGCTCTCTGCCTTTCAAACAAAATGGAAATAAAATCATTTAAGTCAAAGTCTTAAAGGTTTAAGTAACCATGGATTCCTTTGGGAGTTCATGTTCATTTCAGATTTCTCTACAGGTTAAAATTGCACTCTCTTCACATATTTTTAGTCTTCCAAGTCTTTTAGTCTGTAATCAACAGTAAATTGATTGCAGAATAATAGTTGGCAAATAGTTAGCAACCTGAACCACAGAATATTTGATGCAAATCTAAATATCAGAAAGACCTAACTTGAATGTGTGAAATTTTAATTTACAAGTTCAACTACAAGAAAGATACTATCGCACAACTCAAGGTACATTCAGAACCCTGGCTACATTTTTTGCTACTTGAGTGCAGAATACATCAGTTCTTAGATGGCCTTTCAGGCTATTGATGGTTGGATGCAAGGATCCTCTGTAACCCTAATTTAAAAAAAAAAAAATCTTCGTCTTGTTAATTTAAAAAAAAAAATGTTGCTTGACAAGTTCTCCAATCAACCGTACTGTCTTCTGCAAGGAGGAGAACAAACCCAAGAAAACACATCCGCCGCAATCCCTGTGTTTTACGAAGGAAGCCCCAGGCTGAGGCGTGAGGTGCTCGTGAGCGTGACAGCATCCATCAAGATTCCCTGTTGGATCTAGGAAGCACATTGGCCTTTAAACTGCCTCATGACCATTGGAAGCTGAACTGTTTACTTTTGGTTCTTATCTGAGTTCTCCCAATGAAGAATTGTTTTGATCAATTTAATAATCAATTTTTGCCAAGGTCATATTGTATTTTGTTAATTTGCTGTCTAGTATCTTTCTTTGTTAATCAGTGAGCTCATGAAATCAGAAAGAGTTAATATCCTTCCTTTATTCTCACAATATTCCTAAGTGACTTTCAATGTTAAATATCCACAGCTATTCAATTTTATTTTCAAACTACTCAGGAGTTCACATAAACACCATTTTGCATTTGATTAACATCTCATCCTCATTTCAGTCCATCAAAACAAAAATTTTTGAGTAACTACTTTCAGGATGCTGTAAGGGAAAGTTTCATCATGAAGAAAAAATACAGGCCTTCTTTCAGTTGCTTGACTCTCTAGTCTGTGAAGATGCATTGCCTTTTTTTTTTTTTTTAAAAAAAAAAAGATTTATTTTAGAGAGAGAGAAAGAGAGAGGTATCTTCCATCAGCTGGTTTATTTCCTAGATGGCTATAACAATTGGAGCTGGGTCAGGCCAAAGCCAGGAGTCAGAAACTCCCTCCTGGTCTCCCACATGGGTGGCAGGCAACCCATGCACTTGGGTCATCTTCCACTGCCTTTTCAGGCACATTCGCAGGAAGGTGTAGTAGCTGAGACTCAAACTGGCGTTCGGATGTGGGATGCTGGCATCGCAGGCAGGAACTTACCCTGCTGAACCACTGTGCCAGTTTGGAAGATGGATTAAAAATTCTACTTCTCGTTGGCAGACTCTGTGCTGAATGTCTTATCTACATTATCCCAATCTCCTCTAATACCTGTGAGGCATGACTGTTCTCTTTTTACAAGCAAGTAGACTTAGGCGAGGGTGAGGCAAGGATGAGACTGAATTACTCTGCCTTTCTGAAATACATCACGCCTGTCTGGAGGATGTACAGACACAGGGTTCTAATCCCAGGAAGTCCGCTAACACTGTAAGGGAGCGGAAAATCATTTGTCATGAGATTTCAGAGGAGGGAAAGGTCACCTGTGATTCCAAATAATCAGAAAAATTTCACTGACATGATGGCATTCTTTCAGTGTCTTGAAGGATGGGGGCGCGGGGTTGAGTCTTGAAATTAAGAAGGTTCCAGCCTAGTTGAGGGAAAAGTCACTGAGGGACGGGCAAGATGCACCTGGGAGAAGTGGGCGTTGAAGTGTGGCTGAGGTACACTGCCTACAAAGGTGTGTCCTGTGAGACGGCCTTGAAAAAGTAGATTCTGGGAACGTGCTGGTGGCTCCCGCACCTGGCTAAGGGTTTTCTCACTTCTCTCCTCCCCATGGGGTGTTTCCCTGCCCTCTCTTTAATTCATGGCTCTCCAGCCCGCTCTCCAGCCTTCTCCCTCGATGACATGAGCTCCGTTTTACCGCTGCTGCTTGTTTTGGAATACTCCTGCTTGGGAAGGATGCTACCTTCTGCCTCTCTCCGTAGTCCTGAACCTCCAACACGAGAGGCCAAGCACAGATCATTCTCTTCCCATTCTTCGTTGAAAGTTACTACTTTATGTCTTGTTCTTGTTTCCAAACCAAGTGTGAGAATTTTTGTACGTTCTGTGTTTCAGCCCCCGTTCACTGTTCACTACTTCAAGGACTTGCATTTTTATTTGTTTGCATGCCAATTCTTGTGATCCAGTTCCTCTGTATGCTCGGAGCCTGAGCAGCTGTTTATTTCTGGAAATGTAGTCTTTCCTCTGACTGGTTTTTCCTCGATAACTCCTCCCCTCCACCAACCTCCACCCTTTTCTGGTAATGCTGTTATACTTTACTCACAGTGTGACGATTATGTTTAATGGAAAAGAAATGAATCAGACGTCTTAGTTAACCGGAAGAGTATCTGGTAGGGAGAGGAGTAGATTTTATCATCTCCTGGTTTTCTAGTTCTTCACTATTCTTCAGAGTGGGCCATGCACTTAGGGCAGCTCAGGAAGAAGTTCAAGGGCAGAAGCAGCACCATCACCTAAGGACGTAGGTGAATGTGTGTTGCATGATCTGTGACTCCCCGCTTTGAGTCCTCTTCTGGGGATTCCCCTCCTGCCGTTCCCAGCTGACTGCAGGGCCTCGGCACTGCACCTTCAGCGGCACAGACCAGATGGTGGGTGTGGGTGGAGTTGGCATCTCCTTTACTCACAACTTGTAAATGATGGAAAGAATGGCTCAGGGTGCCTCAGCGGCCACAAAGATGGTCTCTTTCACTCATCATTCTCTCTTGTTTGACTCGAAACAGGAGGGGATATTAAATTCATTCTGTTGATAAGTTACATCAAGTGCAGTCAGGAAGCTAGCATGGGCATTTGGAAGCGGAAAGCCATAAAAGGAGTTTCGTATTGAAGCTAGCCTCCAAATGTGGCTCTGAAGCGAAACGACGTGCGTGCCAGCCCTCCTGGAATACCCACGTTCCGTGCAGCAGACCCTGCCCTGTCCTTCTCAGACGCCGCTTCATTTACTGCCCGCTCTGTGTGTGAATGACTATTATCCTTCCTTTTGTACTTTCGTTTTGAAGACACTGAGACCCACGGAGGTTTTTTATCCTGCTAGGATTTGAGCCTGGATG